ATATTGTTAGTAGGGAGATTTTCTACTCAACTAAAACCCAAAATATTAAATTAATGCCAATTTGGTAGAAACATGTGCCCAGACTTCCCAAAATACCAAAATTTGTGATATTGTTATATGGGTTCTACCCACAAAAATGGACCAATATTGATAATTTTTATACCCTCAGCCCTATGGCTAATGTGCCTCATCGAGATAATGGTGTTAGACTCCATGTTTCTTTGGACCAGATCCGTTTTTTCAGGTAGCACCATATAGAGGCACCCTCATTATTTGGGGGGGTTTGAGTGCCTTTTTCAACAGAATTCCCTGCAATTTGATATTTCACGTTCTTATTGGGTACCCAAGTTGTATTTTGAGGGCTTTGAACCCCAAAGACTCCCCAAAATACTAAAATTTGTGATATTGTTATATGGGTTCTACCCATAAAAAGTGGACCAATATTGATAATTTTTATACCCTCAGCCTTATGACTAATGATACAAGTTGATACGACAAAAAAATGTGCCTCATCGAAGTAATGGTGTTAGACCCAATGTTTCTTTGGAACAGATCCGTTTTTTTGGGTAGCCCCATATAGAGACACCCTCATTATTTTGGGGGTTTGTGTGCCTTTTTCAACCGAATTTACTGAAATTTGATACTTCACGTTCTTATTGGGTACCCAAGTTGTATTTTGAGGGGTTTGAAACGATTTTTAATTGAATTCGCTGTAATTTTATATTTGTAGTCGTATTTGGTAACAAGTCTCCCTCCCGAAATATATTTATATTCACCACCTTTTGGGGGTAGTCCCCATATAATTCCTTTTTATACCCTTCACCATACTGTGGTACAGGATATTATGCCTTTGTACATATGTTTGTAACAGGCAAAAAGAAACGAGATAAACACAGGGTTTCTTTTTGAGAATAAGCATAGAATCACATTCGATTTTTGCAAAGTACAGATCGCATTAATTATCCGATTTGGATGTAATTTTTACACAGCTCATCTGTTTAGCCCAAGAATGAACCCTATTGAAATTGAGACTTTACTACTTTCCTTACTGGTTTATTTTAAAATAGTTAACTGATGTCTCCAGCGTTTTGGGATTGTCTGTCTATAGACGTATTCCACCATAGTGTGGGCGATACCTTATACCCTAAAATGTGTGGAATTCTAAGACGATTTAGCCATATATTCTAATCATTCTACTTACGGAGGGTATCGAGATAAAAACATTGTTAGGTTCTTTATATAATGATACCAACCGGTTTTCGGTATTTTTAATATTTAGCGTGAAATTACAGTATTTTGAGGATTTTATACACATGTTCCACCCTACCATGCGTTGTCAATATCGACCTGTGTTTTGGGGTTTTGAAATTTGTATGGTTTACAGCAATCGCTTTGTACAATTGTCGGTATATTTTTTGGTGTGTTCCCTATATTTTCATTTCAAGTAACTATCCGCGTAGCTATGGTGGAGGGTATTCAAATTTCCGCCCGGTAGAAATTAAGGCATTTTATACCCTTCACCACACTGTGGTACTGGGTATTATGTCTTTGTGCATATGTTTGTAACAGGAAAAAGGAAACGAGATAGACACACGGTTCCTTTTGAGAATATGCATATAATCACTTTCTGAGTCGATTTATCCATGTCCGTCCGTCCGTCTGTTCGTCTGTAGATGTTAAATTGTAAACAAAGTACAGGTCGCATTTATAATCCGATTTGGATGAAATTTGGCACAAGTCACTTATTTGGCCCAAGGACGAACCCTATTGAAATTGGGAAAAATCGGTTCAGATTTAGATATAGCTCCCATATATATTTTCGTCCGATTTATGGTAAATGGGGCACCAATGTCCCTCTATATAATTCGATTTGCATGAAATTCGGCACAGAGTACTGAATTAGGTCCATAATGATGTGTGCCAAGTTTCGAGAAAATCGGTTCAGATTTAGATATAGCTCCGATATATATTTTCGTCCGATTTAAGGTAAAAGGGGCACCAAAGTCCCTCTATATATTTCGATTTGCATGAAATTTGGCACAGAGTACTGAATGAGGTCCATAATGATGTGTGTCAAGTTTCGTGAAAATCGGCCCAGATTTAGATATAGCTCCCATATATAGTTTCTTCCGATTTCATGTAAATGGTGCACCAAAGTCCCTATATATCTTTCGATTTGTACAAAATTTGGCATAACGTACTGAATTAGGTCCAGAATGATGTGTGCTAAGTTTCATGAAAATCGGCCCAGATTTGGATATAGCTCCCATATATAGTTTCGTCCGATTTCATGTAAATGGTGCACCAAAGTCCATATATATCTTTCGATTTGTACGAAATTTGGCATAACGTACTGAATTGAGCCTAGAATGATGTCTGCCAAGTTTCATGAAAATCGGCCCAGATTTAGATATAGCTCCCATATATAGTTTCGTCCGATTTAAGGTAAATGGGGCACCAAAGTCCCTCTATATATTTCGATTTGCATGAAATTTGGCACAGAGTACTGAATTAGGTCCGTAATGATGTGTGCCAAGTTTCGAGAAAATCGGTTCAGATTTAGATATAGCTCCCATATATATTTTCGTCCGATTTCATGTAAATGGTGCACCAAAGCCCTATATATCTTTCGATTTGTACGAAATTTGGCATAACGTACTGAATTGAGCCTAGAATGGTGTCTGCCAAATTTCATGAAAGTCGGCCCAGATTTAGATATAGCTCCCATATATAGTTTCGTCCGATTTCATGTAAATGGTGCACCAAAGTCCCTATATATCTTTCGATTTGTACGAAATTTGGCATAACGTACTGAATTGAGCGTAGAGCGATGTCTGCCAAGTTTCGTGAAAATCGGTTGGGATTTAGATATAGCTGATATGAAGTAATTGACGCACCAAGAAACCAATATATGGCTAATAGGAACTAAACGTACCGAAATTAGTATAACATAACCTGTGACAAGTTTTGTTGAAATCGTTTCATATTTGGGTATAGCTTCTATATATACTTTCGTACGATTTTATGTAAATTGTACATCAAACTCCTCATGTTTGTCAGATTGACATAAAATTTTGCACAACGTACAAAATTGAGCCTAGAATAACGTAGTTACGTTTTCTAGAAGTACTGACATAGCCCCACGGATGACCTATTGATATTTGTTTGAAGTCGATTTTTTATTTCGACAAAACTTCACACACGTCGATCAGTAACTACTTAATTCAGCTCGCTGGGCAAAATATTCTCTTAATCTGATAATAAATGCGTCCAGTACTTTTTCTGGGTCCTTGGGGTGAAAAATAAATTTGCAGGAATTTTTCAACCCCCATATAAATGCCACAGATATTTTGAAGATTTTTCCCGCATTCTCTAACCGAACTGGAGGTATTTCTGATTTTTCTTGGTGGACGAAAACAAATCATTTCGATATAGGCCATGATAATATGAGACCCTGTTGTGATCTACAGTTTTTTTATCCATCAGGAATACGAAATTGCAAACATTAAACTTTAATAATACCGAAAATGGCATCCTTCTTTGGGGGGCTATGCCAAAACCCAAAAAAAAATGTCTAAAAATATTTTTTCCGCTCTCCAAGAACCGATAGATCAATTACAGAATACTCAGTGGAAAATTCGGTTAAAACCTATAAAATATTGGGACATGTAAATAGAGTCAATGTCAATAGAAATCGGGCGAAACTATATACGGGAGCTATATCTAAATCTGAACCGATTTTCACGAAACTTTGCACACATCATTTTAGACTTAATTCAGTACGCTATGCCAAATTTCGAGCAAATCGAAACATATATAGTGACTTTAGTACACCATTTATCTTAAATCGGACGGGAGCCATATCTAAATCTGAACCGATTTTCAGGAAACTTAACACACATCATTCTAGACTCGATTCAATCGAATCGAAGGATATATATGGACTTTTGTGCACCATTTACATAAGATCGTACGAAAATATATATGGGAGTTATATCTATTTTTGAACCGATTTTCACGAAACTTAACGCACATCACTCTAGACTTCTTTCAGTACGCTATGCAAAATTTCGTGCAAATCCACGGATATATAGGGACTTTGGTGTACTATGTACCTAAAATCGGACGAAAATATATATGGGAGCTATATCTAAATCTGAACCGATTTCTGCGAAATTTAAAATACATCGTTCCAGACTTACATCAATACGTTATGCTAAATTTCGTGCAAATCGAAGGATATATAGGGACTTTGTTGCTTTATTTACCTAAAATCGGACGAAAATATATATGGGAGCTATAACTAAATCTGAAACTATTTTTCCCAATTTCCTTGAGCCAAATAAATGAGCTGTGCCAAATTTCATCCAATTTGAATCAAAAATGCGACCTGTACTTTTCATTTTCATTTCAAGTAACTATCCGTGTAGCTATGGTGGAGGGTATTCAAAGTTCGGCCCGGTAGAACATAAGGCATTTTTAACTTGTTTTTATTCTTTTGGTAGTCCTTTCGAAATACTCCATTCCTAATTCGCATAATTAATTCTGTATATTTATAATTCCCCCCAAAAAAATCTGCACAAAATTATATCTATTTATTAGTCTAATTACTTCATAATTAAATATTATTTTCTTGGCTCATTATGCGTAACCAAAAAAAAATTGTCTCCTCTCTTCACTTCATTGAAGAATACCAATGGAATTTTCTAAGATATATTTATTATCTTAAATAATTCAAGCATATTTTTTCAACATTCTTCTTCCTGCTTCTTCTTCTTTACTTACCTTGGGCTGATACGGCACGTGACCGCGCCAAATCAATTTTATTTGCCACCAATATAATTGGCCGGGTCCTAATTAAATCCATGTCTTGCAGATGGGCAAGAATATTTTTGGCGCGTGTAAATGATTCCTTATCCACACAGGAGTAGACAACCAAGAAGGCATCGGCTTTTTCCAATTCGTCCTTTTTGGATTGTTGCATAATATGTTGGTGTTGTCGTTGTAGTTGTTTGCGGTGATGGTGTCGAAGGCGGAGGTGGTTTTCGTCAACGGAAATGATTTTGGGGAAAAGAATTTTTTTTTTGGAAGAAAACAAAGAAAAATACAAGAAGAGAAATTAGAAAATAATTAAGTTATTGTCAACAAAAGCATTTTTCGGCAGGATATTAATTTGCAGCCAGCTCCCCCTAAGGATAAATCGTTTTGTGCCTTTTCTTTGGGCTTTTCGCGTGCAATTGTCATTTGCGGAGATGTTCAGGGCTCAGTTGTTATTTTCGTGGCCAGTCATTTGTCTTTCGATTTTATATCGGGTTTGTGGTTTGGGTTGCAATTCAGCTAATGGTAATAAATTATGTGGGGTTCTTTTTGAATTAAATTTACAAGTTTTTGGTCATTTAGATGAAAAAAAGTGTTGGGAAAAGGAAATTTGGTGGTTGCCAAAGGACAAGAATACGAATTCGGAAAAGCGAAAAAAATATATGTTTAAAGAATGCAGACTTGTTGTGTTGATCTTAAAAAAATATACATTTAAAAAACCACGTCACTAATGGCCTCGGAAAAAATATTTTTTAAAAATCTACACTTGAAACAAATATTTGTTTTCAAAAAAACACCCCTTTTTAAAACCCATACCTGTTTGGTACTTAAAAAAATATTTTCGTTAAGAAACAAACCTTTTTGGTACTTCAAAAAAAAAATATTTTTAGTACATCAGAATTTTGTTTTATAAAATCCGTTTAATTCACGCAAGTTTGTTACTTTAACAAATATTTTTTTTTCAAAAATTCACCATTTATCGATCCGTGAAAAATATTTGTTAAAAAAGTGTATCCTACCATTCTGCAGCGACACTTTGCTTTTACGTGTCTCCAACTATTTTCATATTCATGTTCTATGATTTTTCATTCATTCATTTATTTTGATTACCGGTAAACGAAAAAAAAACAAATGGATTCATGAACAAAAAATTGAAATTATTATTATTTTCTTTCCGATTATATGGTCACGATTTAATTTTGTGTGCGTGTGTGTGGTTGCTGTTCTTTTGCGAGCAATGAACAGAGAGACAATCCCCCATGAAGAAAAATTACAATTGGCTATGAGCCAAATGCGAAAATTGTTCACAGAAAAACAAATAATGGACATCAGAGGACGATAGCTGACAACGAAAACACAACACAAAAAATTAAAATAAAAACCAGTAAGGAAAGTAGTAAAGTCGGACGGGGCCGACTATATGATACCCTTCACCACTTCGGGTATATTCAACAGATGAATCTTAATAGACGTCGCATTTGTGAAGGATCAGTAAAATGAAATAGGTCCCATAAACATATCTTTCTGCAAACTATATTCAATTTTTCATTTGATCAGATATAGAGTTGCTTCTTACAATGAGACAAAATTATGTAAATCAATTGAAAGCATATATCAGTCGGATACCCGTTGATTATTTGGATACATATCTGATAAACATGAGGAGTTTGGTGCACCATTTACTTCAAATCGGACGAAAATATTTATAAAAGCTATATTGAAATCTAAGCCGATTTCATCGAAACTTGTCACTGAATATCGGCCACATTTTTAATTCTTGGTGCATCATTTAGTTAAAATCGGGAGAACATATGGTAGCTCTATGCAAATTTGAACCGATTTCAATAAAACTTCCCACACGCTAGGTTATATAAACTATACACTGCGTATCATAACTATAGACGCACCCGTAATTCAATTGGTATGTTAGTTGACAAATAAAATGGACCCATTAAGTTATTGTTCACAATAAAACGATCAAAAACACATATTATTCAACAAAAATAATTAATTTATTCTTTATGGTTTCGCCGAATTCTGCACTTTCAAAATTGCTGGTGTTGCATAACTATAGACGCACTTTTACAAAATTAGAAAAATTTATTTTTTAAAACTTAAATAAAATAAAATAACTTTTATAAATAATGGGTACGGCCTCCCTTATTTTGAATAAGTTCAAAAATTTTATCCATCACACTGTTGATCAAAATTATTCGCAAGTCTTCATCGATTGACCGCCATTCATCGATAATCACTTCGTGGAAATAAAATAATGTTTAGTATTGGCTGTTTTCTGCATAGACACGACGAGGCAAGATTCCACACATGTTCTCGATCGGATTCTGGTCGGAAATTTTAATATTTTTCGATTTTAACCATACTTGAGTATGGCCACTTTTATGAACTGGTGCGTTGTCCTGCTAAAAAACGAGTCCTTGATTGTTGCTGCTTTCCCAAAATGTCAATAATTTGTCTTCCAAGACTTGAACGTACTCCATTGAATTCATCCGACAGCATGGAAATGTCAAATAAAGCATTCCGTGGCTATAAAATGCTCCCAATGTGGCGGTTACCGAAATATCGTTATTTCTTAATACGATATTTCGGTGGTGGTTCCTTAATGGCCTTGGGAGCATTTTATAGCCATTATTTGACATTTCCATGTTGTCGGATGAATTCAATGGAGTACGTTCAAGTCTTGGAAGACAAATTATTGACATTTTGGGAAAGCAGCCACAATCAAGGACTCGTTTTTTAGCAGGACAACGCACCAGTTCATAAAAGTGGCCATACTCAAGTATGGTTAAAATCGAAAAATATTAAAATTTCCGACCAGAATCCGATCGAGAACATGTGTGGAATCTTGCCTCGTCGTGTCTATGCAGAAAACCGCCAATATCAAACATTATTTTATTTCCACGAAGTGATTATCGATGAATGGCGGTCAATCGATGAAGACTTGCGAATAATTTTGATCAACAGTGTTATGGATAAAATTTTTGAACTTATTCAAAATAAGGGAGGCCGTACCCATTATTTATAAAAGTTATTTTATTTTATTTAAGTTTTAAAAAATAAATTTTTCTAATTTTGTAAAAGTGCGTCTATAGTTATGCAACACCAGCAATTTTGAAAGTGCAGAATTCGGCGAAACCATAAAGAATAAATTAATTATTTTTGTTGAATAATATGTGTTTTTGATCGTTTTATTGTGAACAATAACTTAATGGGTCCATTTTATTTGTCAACTAACATACCAATTGAATTACGGGTGCGTCTATAGTTATGATACGCAGTGTATAACATTGGGTCTTTGGTGAACATTTTACTTAAAATCTGACAAAACTATATATAGGAAATATATCTACATTTTAACTAATTTCAACAAAACTTGCCACACGTTATCTCATAATAACTTCTATAAGTTGTGCAAAATTTTGTGCCAATCGGACCCACCTGGGGGATTCGGTGCAGCATTTATACCTAACTTAAAGGTTATACTAAATTCATTACGATATATATATAGGGACTCTGGTTCACCATTTACCTGAAATCGGACGAAAATATATATTGGAGCTATATCTAAATCTTAACCGATTTTAACGAAACTTAACACACATCATTCTAGACTCAATTCAGTACGCTATGCCAAATTTCGTACAAATCGAAGGATATATAGGGGCTTTGGTGCACTATTTACCTAAAATCGGACGAAAATATATATGACAGCTATATCTAAATCTGAACCAATTTTTACGAAAATTAGCGCACATTATTCTAGGCTTAATTCAGTACGCTGTGCCAAATTTCTTGAAAATCTAAAGATATATAGGGACTTTGGTGCACCGTTTACCTTAAATCGGACGAAAATATATATGTGAGCTATATCTAAACTGAAGCGATTTTCACTAAATTTAACACACATCGTTCTAGAATTAATTTAGTACGCTATGCTAAATTTCGTGCAAATCGAAGGATATATAGGGACTTTGGTGCACTATTTACCTGAAATCGGACGAAAATATATTTGGGAGCTGTATCTAAATCTGAGCCGATTTTCACGAAACTTTCCACACATCATTCTATGCTTAATTCAGTGCGCTGTGCTAAATTTCGTGCTAATCGAAGGACTTTGGTGCACTATTTACCTCAAATTGGATGAAAATATATTTGGGAGCTTTATCTAAATCTGAAGCGATTTTCACGAAACTTTGACACATAATTCTAGGCTTAATTCAGTATGCTATGTCAAATTTCGTGCAAATCGAAGGATATATAGGGACTTTGGTGTACTATTTACCTCAAATCGGACGACACTATATATGGGAGCTATATCGAAATCTGAACCGATTTTCACAAAACATAACACACATCACTATAGACTTAATTCAATACGCTATGTCAAATTTCGTGCAAATCGACAGATATATAGGCACTTTGGTGCACCATTTACCTTAAATCGGATGAAAATATATATGACAGCTATATCTAAATCTGAACCAATGTTCACGAAACTTTGCACACACCATTCTAGGCTTAATTCAGTACGCTGTGCGAAATTTCGTGCAAATCGAAGGATATATAGGGACATTGGTGCACCATTTACCTTAAATCGGACGAAAATATATCTGGGAGCTATATTTAAATCTGAACTGAATTTCACGAAACTTTGCACACATTATTATAGACGCAATTCAGTACGTTATGCCAAATTTCTTGAAAATCTAAAGATATATAGGGACATTGGTGCACCATTTACCTTAAATCGGACGAAAATATATATGGGAGCTATATCTAAATCTGAACCGATTTTCACGAAACTTACCACTCATCATTCTAGACTCAATTCAGTACGCTATGTCAAATTTCGTGCAAATCAAAGGTGCACTATTTACTTTAAATCGGACGAAAATATATATGGAAGCTATATCTAAATCTGAACCGATTTTCACGAAACTTTACACACATCATTCTAGGCTTAATTCAGTACGCTATGTCAAATTTCGTGCAAACCGAAGGATATATAGGGACTTTGGTGCACTATTTACCTCAAATCGGACGACACTATGTATAGGAGCTATATCGAAATCTGAACCGATTTTCACGAAACTTAACACACATCACTATAGACTTAATTCAATACTCTATGTCAAATTTCGTGCAAATCGAAAGATATATAGGCACTTTGGTGCACCATTTACCTTAAATCGGATGAAAATATATATGGGAGCGGATCTAAATCTGAACCGATTTTTCCCAATTTCAATAGGGTTCGTCCTTGGGCCAAATAAATGAGCTGTGCCAATTCGAATCATAAATGCGACCTTTACTTTGTTTACAATTTATCATGGATAGACAGACAGACGGACGGACAGACATGCATAAGTCGACTTAAAAAGTGATTCTATGCATATTCTCAAAAGGAACCATGTGTCTATCTCGTTTCCTTTTGCCTGTTACAAACATATGCACAACGACATAATACCCTGTACCACAGTGTGGTGAAGGGTATAAAAAATAAATAGTCTTTGGTTTTGTACAAAACTTTTTTCAAATTTTGAATTTTGTAAAATTTTTTTATTAAATTTCGAATAATTACAAACAATTTAGAAAACTTTGCATACCCAGTCCATTCTCTGTTAGTGTATAGAACAATTGAAATCTTTCTTCTCCACTGCAAACCTCAGCAATTTGCAGCACTTAGAGAAATTATGAATATTTTAACAACAACAACTACTACAACAAATAGAGACATGCAAACATTATAAAATAATGTGCACAACAAAGTCATCACAACAACAACAAATGAAATGACAAATGGCATGTCCGTCCACCCCATCCATTTGGATATTAATTTAAAATGCAAGATGATTGTCGGATGAAAACTATGCCTGTTATGGGACCAGAAAACAATGTATGGGTGTAGTAGTTGCCTACACTAACAAGAGCTTAGGGGGCGAATAGAATATAGACTTTTTCGAAGGGGGTGTTTCCAATTTGTTTGACAATTTTAGAATAAAGACGTCATTAAGATGTTTGTGTGTGCGTTTTTTTGGGTTCCATGTTGTAGGTTACCAAATAAAAATGGGGTTTCCAAAAAATAAAAACAATAAAATGCATGATGGAATCAATCGGTCCGCCCCTTCTGGTACCTCCCCCATAAAATATCAAATTATTTGATATCCGATATGGTCCATTAAATAGTCATCGTAATATTTTTACAATTCCTGTCAGTATCCAGGTCCGCCATCTGTGGTACCTTCTCCCCACAATTTTATTTTTCATACAAAAACATATTTTTGGAATAAAAACGTTTTTATTGGACCAAAAATTCCGAATAAATTATTGCAAATGATTTTATTGGAAAATTAATTAAGAATTTGTTTAAAAAAATTGTACGATTTTTTTTTAAGGAAAGTAGTAAAGTCGAACAGGGCCGACTATATGATACCCTTCACCACTATGGGTATATTAAACAGGACCATTAACATGAAATTGGATGAACTAAAATATGTAATACTTATCTAAATGTGAATCGACTAAGATTAATCCATAAACATGTCATTCGTTTGTTACGCTATTCTATGCTAAATTTTGTACGATGAGCAAAATTTCATGTCAATCTGAAAAACATGAGGAGTTTAATGCACCATTTACTTAAAATCGGACGAAAATATATATGGAAGCTATTCCAAATATGAACAGATTTCTTGTCACAGGTTAGGTTATGCTATCAGCCATATATTGGTTCCTTGGTGCGTCAATTACTTAAAATAAATCGATAATATATAAGGGAGCTATATATAAATCTGGACCGATTTTCACGAAACTTGGCAAACATCACTCTAGGCTCAATTCAGTACGCTATGCCAAATTTCGTGCAATTCGAAAGATATATAGGGACTTTGGTGTACCATTTACATAAAATCGAACGAAATTATATATGGGATCTATATCTAAATCTGGACTGATTTTCACGAAACGTGTGTAGATGTCACTCTAGGCTCAATTCAGTACGTTAGGCCAAATTTCGTGCAAATCGAAAGGCATATAGGGACTTTGGTGTACCATTTACATAAAATCGAACGAAATTATATGTGGGATCTATATCTAAATCTGGACCGATATTAACGAAACATGGCAGACGTCACTCTAGGCTCAATTCAGTACGGCATGCCAAATTTCGTACAAATCGAAAGGCATATAGGGACTTTGGTGTACCATTTACATAAAATCGGATGAAACTATATATGGAAGATATATGGGGTCTTTGGTGCAGAATTTAAATAAAATCGGACGAAACTATATATGGGAGCTATATCTAAATCTGGACCGATTTTCAGGGAACATCACTCTAGGCTCAATTTAGTACTTCATGCCAAACTTCGTGCAAATCGGAAGGCATATAGGGTCTCTGGTGTACCATTTACATAAAATCGGACGAAACTATATATGGGAGCTATATCTAAATCTGGACCGATTTTCATGAAACTTAGCAGATGTCACTCTAGGTTCAATTCAGTACGCTACGCCAAATTTAGTGCAAATCGAAAGATATATAAAAATTTTGGTGCACCATTTACCTTAAATCGGGCAAAACTATATATGGGAGCTATATCTAAATCTGAATCGTTTTTTTCCAATTTCAATAGGGTTCATCCTTGGGCCAAATAAATGAGCTGTGCCAAATTTCATCCAATTCGAATCAAAACTGCGATCTGTACTTTGTTTACAATTTAAAATGGACAGACAGACACACGGACGGACATGCATAAATCGACTCAGAAAGTGATTCTATGCATATTCTGAAAGGTCTATCTCGATTATTTTTGCCTGTTTCAAACATATGCAGAAATATATAATACCCTGTACCACAGTGTGGTGAAGGGTATAAAAATAGATTTGGAGGTCACCCAATTTTAATTTCCAATGCCCCATGGAAATCAAAAGAAAAGTTTAAGGTCATTAGGGGTTAACAACTTTGAAATTATGCAATTATGTGCTTTTTATGATAAATGTGTATATTTAATTTTTCAGTTTTCGCGTGGTACAAATTGTAAACAAATCAAAGTTATAAAACTATTTTCCATTTCGTTTTTTAATTTTTATGAAATCCATAAATTTTAATTTATTGCTAAATACAAATTCGACGAATACATTTAAAGCTATTTTAACAATTATTTTTTTGTATTTTTTTTAAATTCGCTGTCATCATAAATTTATTGATAGTTTTGTTTTCACTTTTCAGATGCTTGCGAGAGTGTGTGTAGAAAACACAGTAATTAATAATAGATTAATACTGACACACATTTGTTTGAGTGTCTGGGTGTGTTTCACAAATTCGAAATGGCAAAGATGTTTGTCTGCCAGTCTATATATGCATGTCAATCACATAAAATTAGCATTTGAGAAAAAAACAAATGGAGAAAAATATTGATTTAAGAACCAAGAAGAACACAACTAAGAAATAGTTTGATGGCGACAAACTTTTCAAATTTTCTGTTTTTATTGTTGACAAATTTGTGTTTTTTTTGGCAAATTATTTATTATATTGCCGCTTTAAACAAATGAGGGGGTTGACTGCAAAGACTCATAGTATTTTTTTTATAAACTTACCTTTGTTTCACGTTGATTTATTCTAAATTTCAATTCGGATTCAATATTATTTAATATAATTGAAATGTTTTGTTCATTTTCGTCACATTCTGCAAGAGAGAAAAAGGAAGAGGAAGAAGATAATTATTATTCGAATCAATAAAAAGATAAATTTTGAGTTAACGGTTTACATATTTTGTATAGTAAATATTGTCAATAAAATATTTTCTATGACATTTTTGATAACAGATTTTCTATAACCTCCACATGAGATGGAGTGAATATAAAATTAAAGATTATTTTGCAACACCTCGAAATATTCGTTGCAGAAAGAACCGAGACAGTACCGTCCACTTGCTATGTGTTGAAGGGTTTATTTGCAATTTTTTATCGATGCTATGGCAAAAAGTCATTAAAAACCCTGTCATTGAGCCATAATGTAATGCGACTAAAATTTGGCATAACTTCCACCTACAGAACTTGTCCAATTTTAGATAATTCTATGGTCCTAGGGTTATTTTCCTACCGATGTGACAATTATTTGAGATTATTGTTTTTCTTCCCAGAAAATGTTCTTTATAGGCCCACATTTTGGTTAATGCTTATTTATACCATTAATTTTTCAAATGTAGACCCAGGCTGAGGGTCTATAATTTGATATGATTTCTTTCTCAGAGATATTGTCATAGTCAGTGACTGAAATTTGGTAATCCGGGTTTTTGGAGGCTATGCAGAAAAATATCAATATAGATAAAGGTTTTGCCTTAACCGCCAGATAAAGGTCTTATCCCATTCTCGAAATTTTGAATATTTTTGCACAGTTCCCAACAAAGCAACTGTAATTTGACATTCCGTTTTTTGGAGGTTAACAAAATTTCAATATGACCCATACTTTTATACCGTTCATCATACTGTGGTGCAGGGTATTATGTCTTTGTGCATATGTTGGTAACAGAAAAAGGATTTATCAGAAATGCATAAATCCTTTTTTCTGCCCGTCCATCCCTGTATTTTTGGATAAAATTTGGCACTGGTCACTTATTTGATCCAAGGATGAAACCTATTGAAATTGGAGAATATCGGTTCAGATTTAGATATAGCTCCCATATATATATATATATATATATTCGTCCCAATATTTGTCCAATTGAGACAACATTTTGCACAGCGTACTGAATTGGGTTCTGATTAATGTATGTAAAGTTTTGTTGAAATCGGTCCTATAACTAAATCTAAACCGATTTCGACAAAACTCATATGTAGTTTCGATCGATTTTATGTAAATAGTGCGTCAAACAGCCATAGTTTCTCAGATTGAGACAACATTATGCATAGCGTTTTGCAATTGGGGCAGGTTGTTGCATGTGAAGTTTTGCTGAAATTGTTTCAGATTTAGATATAGCTCCGATATATATTTTGGTACGATATAATGTAAATGGTGCACCAAACTCCCAATATGTGTCCGATTGAGACATAATTTGGTTCAGGATAGCTTCCATATATTTTTCATCTGATTTCTTCTAAATGGTGTAACAAATAAATAAAATTTTTTCGAACCTAGAATAGGTGTACTGAATTTTGTAAAATATATATAATGCAAATATTGCTGCAGCATACCAAATGGTTGCTTAAATACGTCCAGATTTGCATATAGCTCCCATACGTAATATTGCTCGATTTTATATAAATGGTACACCCAAGTTTGTCCGATTGACATGTCATTTTTCATAGGTTTCAGAAATTTGTTCAATATCTGTGTTGTTCACACATTTATTTTTGTCCGATTCTAATTCAGTGGTCCCATGTCTGTACTATGGATATTGTACATATGAACATATCTTGTATGTATACGTACAAAGTGCTGAGGGCATCATATAGTCGGACCGTCCGACTTTTGAATTTTCCTTACATGTTTAAAATAATTTTCAAATAAAAGTCTCCGTTTTGGGTATTTTGAAGATAATTACTGATTTGACTGAAATTTGACATTCCGGACAGGATGATAAATATTTCTGCAGAATATTTTCTATACATATTGATATATCCTCAATAAAAATTTACAGTCCCGTTTTCGATATTTAAAAACAGTGAGCGGAGCAATATAGTCGGATGGGCCGACCATATGATACCCTACAAACTACCACGGAACTCTAACTTTTGCGTATGTTTATTTCGAGCCTGGTCAATATTTCGTGATATTTGCACCCTTTTGACCGACTAGAGATCAACAGCACATCTTCCTTACACTGACATATTTTCCGAACATCCCAATATTAAATACATCCCTTTAATTACTTGTCCAGATTCCCTTCACCGTGGGTTGTGTTGTGGTTTTCGGCTTGTGGCCTATATATTGACTCGAAAAAAAATTAGTTTTCGGTCCACTTCATCCCAAAATTTTAATCTGATCATCACCGAAAATTATATGCGTTGTCCATGACCATACCTGGATCCTCAAGGAAAATTTCAAAGCGATCAGCGCTATATTTCCGACCTCTAGTATGGTAAAGGTTTATTAAATAATATCTGAATACGTAAGCAGCTGTAAATATTTATGTGTAACTCGCACATCCGAGTACATACGACAATATATTTGGTATCAATTTAAAGGCAATAACTCCTCTTGGATATACTATCAATTTATCGGTCCATTTGGCCCGCTAAATATTGACCGATCTTTATCAAAACATGCAATGTTTAGGCCATAATTGTGGCCTCAGGAGCGCCCAGAAAATCTGACAAAAATAATGTTTTTGGTCCATTTCATCCCCTAAATATTAACCGATTTAAAAAAAAAAACAATAGGGGTCTTCACTGACCAGAACCCATCATAAATGCAAAATTTCGTGACGATTGGTCCATAACTGTGGCTTGTATCGTGTTTACAAATTATAATGGACAGACGGACGGACGGACACACATGTCTAGATCGATTCAGCTGGTCGAGATATGACGATCGGTATACTTAAAGGTGGGTCTAGGACCAATATTTCGCCTGACCAACCCTGACAACATAGTTGTGTAGGGTATAAAAATTACTCCTGCACAAGTTTTTTGATGTAGATCCATAACACCCATATAGAGACGACTTGCATAAATTTCGGTATATTGAAGGAGCTTCTTTCATAGCTTCTCTCATAAAGGCCTTTACCGATTTAAGGAATATTGAATGAACGTCGCCGCTGAACTTATCGACAGCAATATACATAGTAACCCTCGTATTGCACCCTTATGATATGGTTCATGGTTCACATATAAAGATCCTTATCGTTTTAAGGAATTTTGAATCGGCTCAACTTATCGAAGTTTCTAATTGTTGATGATAAATATTCGCATATTAATTCGTACCCAACTACCACGGAAAAATAACTTTCTGCATCCCTGCCTGGACAATATTTCTTGACCGATGAGAGGACAACAGCTCGTCTTTCTTACTCTGATTTATATTTTCCGAATTTTGTTTTCCCGTGGTGAACATTTACGCCTTAGCATTAAAATTTCGTAATTTTGTCACAGATAGGTCCTGCTGAATATGGCCACAATTTTGTTGTAATGTTCGACTTATAATTGTGGCCTCTAGAGTGACTAGTAAAATAGACAAAAATAAAGTTTTCATCTCCAAAAAATATCATCCCCTTACCATCGAAAAATATAGTTGCCGTCCTTGACCATAACTGGAACGGCATGTAAATATCGTGATCAGCGTGATATTTACCCCTTCTAATGTGGTAATGGTGATACTAAACAAATTCAAAATACGTAGATCCCCTTTAAATAGTTACATATAACACACATCCGAGTACAGGTGTAAATAAATACACCCTAAAATTAAATTTTTGCCATTTTCCACACACAAGTATAGGTCCATTTGATCCTTCAAATATTGATCGATTTCTTCCTGGTCAGATTCCTTTCTCCTTGAAAAATGTCGCGATGTTCGGGTAATAATTGGGATATCATATAGTCAGACCGTTCGCTTTACTGAATATAATATAATTTCAAAATTTCGAAATGCGTTGCTCTTCCAACCATTTGCCTATATGGTTTCTCCTAGTTATTAATAAAAAAACTCCCACCTTTGTGTCTCGTGTACTTTCACTTGAAATCTAAAAACAAACATCGTTAGTTTTTATTTCCCCTCATCTTCGTTTCTCTGCATATCTTTTACCCACCCATTATGAAATGTGAATAATTTAACATGTTTCCTCTTTAATCACCGAGACGCATTTACACTTGTATATAAAAAAAAATATTAATATAATACTTTCCCTTCTTTTCTCTAGCCCATACCGAACCAAGCACTACCTATAATTTACCGTACTACCGCCTCCAGCAACCTGATTATTATGATTATCCCATTTCCTTTCATTTCGAGAGAATAGCCTCTCAGCATTTTTTGCATGGCCTAGGAGGCTGTGCAAATGGAAATACACGTAACTTTGTCTGTCTGTTTGTGTCTCTTTGGTGGTGGTGGTGTGTGTGTGTGTTTGAGCTTATTTCATAACAAGTTCTTTTTTTTGTTCCACTTTACCTGGTCCATCGTATGCATTAATACAGTCTGAAGTGCGAAATTGTGAAACTAATGACTGTTTGCCCGAACCCGCTGCGCCCAACATCTCCACGTGATAGACATCAACGGGCGCCGGTGTATTAACGCCCTCCTGCATATCCATGTCGGTACAGCCGGCCAGAGCACCAATGCGTGGATGTATGGGACTGACAGGAGCCAAGCTATTGCTGCGTGAACGGCGTCGACGAAAGGAGTCACCACGATTGATGATGCCTAAGGAGAAGAATAACAAGAATAAAAGAGAACAGATTACAGAAGGTGAAAGGGAAACTAGCGTATAATATAGAGCAGTGTGTAACGACAAGCAAACGAAGTAGACGGCGTGGGGGAAACTATTGAAAAGATGAGTGAAAAAAATAAGCTGACAACTAAAATAAATAGCATTTGATGACTATAAAAATTAGATCAATACTTAAAATAATAAAAATACAATTTGTCGCCTGCACAATCATGGTGACGATGACGCGGACCATGATGTTGATGATGGGTGATGATGACATGACTGCTGATGTCAAGGGCCAACTGAGGCGTGGATTTATTAAAGAATATTTTTCAAGGGCCAACTGAGGCGTGGATTTATTAAAGAATATTTTTCAAGGGGCCAACTGAGGCGTGGATTTATTAAAGAATATTTTTCAAGGGCCAACTGAGGCGTGGATTTATTAAAGAATATTTTTCAAGGGCCAACTGAGGCGTGGATTTATTAAAGAATATTTTTCAAGGGCCAACTGAGGCGTGGATTTATTAAAGAATATTTTTCAAGGGCCAACTGAGGCTTATTAAAGAATATTTTTCAAGGGCCAACTGAGGCGTGGATTTATTAAAGAATATTTTTCAAGGGCCAACTGAGGCGTGGATTTATTAAAGAATATTTTTCAAGGGCCAACTGAGGCGTGGATTTATTAAAGAATATTTTTCAAGGGCCAACTGAGGCGTGGATTTATTAAAGAATATTTTTCAAGGGCCAACTGAGGCGTGGATTTATTAAAGAATATTTTTCAAGGGCCAACTGAGGCGTGGATTTATTAAAGAATATTTTTCAAGGGCCAACTGAGGCGTGGATTTATTAAAGAATATTTTTCAAGGGCCAACTGAGGCGTGGATTTATTTTTCAAGGGCCAAAGAATATTTTTCAAGGGCCAACTGAGGCGTGGATTTATTAAAGAATATTTTTCAAGGGCCAACTGAGGCGTGGATTTATTAAAGAATATTTTTCAAGGGCCAACTGAGGCGTGGATTTATTAAAGAATATTTTTCAAGGGCCAACTGAGGCGTGGATTTATTAAAGAATATTATTCAAGGGCCAACTGAGGCGTGGATTTATTAAAGAATATTTTTCAAGGGCCAACTGAGGCGTGGATTTATTAAAGAATATTTTTCAAGGGCCAACTGAGGCGTGGATTTATTAAAGAATATTTTTCAAGGGCCAACTGAGGCGTGGATTTATTTTTAAAGAATATTTTTCAAGGGCCAACTGAGGCGTGGATTTATTAAAGAATATTTTTCAAGGGCCAACTGAGGCGTGGATTTATTAAAGAATATTTTTCAAGGGCCAACTGAGGCGTGGATTTATTAAAGAATATTTTTCAAGGGCCAACTGAGGCGTGGATTTATTAAAGAATATTTTTCAAGGGCCAACTGAGGCGTGGATTTATTAAAGAATATTTTTCAAGGGCCAACTGAGGCGTGGATTTATTAAAGAATATTTTTCAAGGGCCAACTGAGGCGTGGATTTATTAAAGAATATTTTTCAAGGGCCAACTGAGGCGTGGATTTATTAAAGAATATTTTTCAAGGGCCAACTGAGGCGTGGATTTATTAAAGAATATTTTTCAAGGGCCAACTGAGGCGTGGATTTATTAAAGAATATTTTTCAAGGGCCAACTGAGGCGTGGATTTATTAAAGAATATTTTTCAAGGGCCAACTGAGGCGTGGATTTATTAAAGAATATTTTTCAAGGGCCAACTGAGGCGTGGATTTATTAAAGAATATTTTTCAAGGGCCAACTGAGGCGTGGATTTATTAAAGAATATTTTTCAAGGGCCAACTGAGGCGTGGATTTATTAAAGAATATTTTTCAAGGGCCAACTGAGGCGTGGATTTATTAAAGAATATTTTTCAAGGGCCAACTGAGGCGTGGATTTATTAAAGAATATTTTTCAAGGGCCAACTGAGGCGTGGATTTATTAAAGAATATTTTTCAAGGGCCAACTGAGGCGTGGATTTATTAAAGAATATTTTTCAAGGGCCAACTGAGGCGTGGATTTATTAAAGAATATTTTTCAAGGGCCAACTGAGGCGTGGATTTATTAAAGAATATTTTTCAAGGGCCAACTGAGGCGTGGATTTATTAAAGAATATTTTCAAGGGCCAAACTAGGCGTGGCTTTTTAAAATAATATTTTGTGAGAAGCCAATATAGGGGTGTATATTTAAAAGAATATTTTATCTAGGGCCAACATAGGGAGTACGCTATGCCAAATTTCGTGCAAATCAAAAGATTTCCAGGGACTTTGGTGCTCCAATTACCTAAAATCGGCCGAAAATATACATGGGATCTATATCTAAATCTGAACCGATTTTTACGAAACTTGGCAGACATCATTCTAGACCTTATTCATTGCGCTGTGCCAAATTTCTTGCAAATCAAAATATTTTCAGGAATTTTCGTGGACTATTTACCTAAAATCGGGCCAAGCTATATATGAGAGCTATATCTAAATCTGAACCGATTTTCACGAAACTTCACACACTTCATTCTAGACCTTATTCATTACGCTGTGCCGAATTTCGTGCAAATCGAAAGATATATAGGGAATTTGGTACACCATTTACCTTAAATCGGACGAAAATATATATGGGTTCGTCCTTGGGCCAAACAAGTGAGCTGTGTCAAATTTCATCCAATTCGGATCATAAATGCAACCTGTACTTTGTTTACAATTTAACACCAACAGACGGACAGACGACTCAGAAAGTCATTCTATGCATATTCTCAAAGGGAACCATGGGTCTATCTCGATTATTTTTCATGTTACAAACATATGCACAAAGACATAATACTCTGTACCACAGTATTGATGGGTATAAATATACTTTATCTAGGGCCAATACAGACGTGAATTTTTATCTAGGACCAATATAGGGTTGTATATTAAAATGATACTTTATATAGGGGTTTTTTTTTTAAATAATATTTATACCCTACACAACAATGTTGTCAGGGTATTATAGCTTTGTGCAGCTCCAAAATTTTGTAACGCCGCGAAATATTGGTCCGTCTGTCCATTATAATTTGTAAACACGATACAGACCACAGTTATGTACCAATCTTCACGAAATTTTGTATGTAGGATGGGTTCTGGCCAATGAAGACCCCTATCGTTTTTGGGAAAAATCGGTTAATATTTAGGGGATGAATTGGACCAAATACTAAATTTTTGTCGGTTTTTCTGGTCGCTCCAGAGGCCGCAATTATGGCCCAAAACATCGTGAAATTTTGCATGGAGAAGGGGATCGGGCCAAAGAATAAGCATGCCTGTTTTGATAATGATCGGTCAATATTTAGCGGGTCTAATGAACCCTAACATTTGTGTAAAAAATGACAACATTTGTATTCTATAACGTATATATTTACCCCTGAAGGACATAGACCAGAGAAGTTGATATTATACCCAAGAGGAGTGGTTGATCTTTAAATTAATACCAATTATATTGTTGTATGTGATCGGATGTGGGAGTTACACCTAAATATTTACAGGTATCTCAGTATTCGTATATTATTTAGTAACCTATTAATCGCTCTAGAGAGCGGAATTATACCGCTGATCGCTTTGAAATGCTCCATAAGGTTCCAGTTATGGTCAAGGACAAAGCGTATAATTTTCGATAATTATCAGATAATATTTCTGAAATGAAGTGGACCGAAAACATAATTTTTTGTGTTATTTTCGAGTCACACAACCCACGGTGAAGAGAATCTGGACAATATCTGCACTGAATACTCGTAATATTCGGAAAATATGTCAGTGTGAGGAAGAGGTGCTGTTTACCTCTAATCGGGCAAGAGGATGCAAATAGCACGAAATATTGCCCAGGCTCGGAATAAACATCCGCAGAAATTTTGAGTTCCGTGGTAGTTGTGTAGGGTATCGTATGGTCGGCCCCGTCTGACTATACTACTCCGCTCACTGGTTTTCATGTGCCATTGTAGGCGTGTATTTTTAAAATAATAACTTTTCAGGGGCCACTCTAGGCGGCAATTTTTTTAATAATAATGGCGTGGATTTTTATGAAATATTTATTCAACAGCTAATATATGTGTGATTTTTTTATGGCCCAAATTTAAAATTTTTTAAAGAATATTTTTTCCAATCGAGACGTTGTCTTTAAAAGAATATTTTTGGAACCACAATATGCGTGCCTTTTTTAAAGAATATATTTTTAATGGCCAATATAAGCACACATGTGGGCCTGGCATTTAAAATAATATGTTTTCAAGGGCAAATGTAGTCAAATGTATAATAATAGATTTTCAAGGCGTGGATTTTTAAAATAATATATTTCAGGGTCCAGTTTAGGAATGGATTTTAAAAATTATATTTTTTCAAGGGCCCATATAGGGGTGGATTTTTACAATCATATTTTTTAAATATTTTTCAAGGCACATATTGGCATGGATTTACAAAATAATATTTTTATACCCTTCACCACACTGTGGTATAGGGTATTATGTATTTGTGCATATGTTTGTAACAGGCAAAAGGAAACGAAATAGACACATGGTGCCTTTTCAGAATATGCATAGAATCACTTTCTGAGTCGATTTATGCATATCCGTCCGTCCGTCTGTAGATGTTAAATTGTAAACAAAGTACAGGCCGCATTTATGATCCGATTTGGGTGAAATTTGACACAGCTCACTTATTTGGCCCAAGGAAGAACCCTATTGAAATTGGAGAAAATCGGTTCAGATTTGGATATAGCTCCCGGATATAGTTTCGTCCGATTTTAAGTAAATGGTGCACAAAAGTCCCTATATATCTTTCGATTTGCACGAAATTTGGTACGGTGTACTCAATTGAGTTTAGAATCTCGTGTGCTAAGTTTCGTGCAAATCGGTTCATATTTAAATATTGCTCCCGTATATAGTTTCGTCCGATTTTAGGTAAATGATGCACAAAAGTCCCTATATATCTGTCCATTTGCACGAA